CCTGGTGTGATGCTGTGTGTGTCATAATACAAATGAGTTTAGACAGTCTTGTCTACCATTCTCAACTTCAGTGTTGCAGCACAATGACTGAGCCTGAGTCACTCGTGAAATGTCACAAATAGTGTGTTACCTGTTCTCACAATACGAGAATGTCAGATGACTCACTTGTAATAGCGTCATTCTTATTCGTTGAACATTCACCCACTTGCATTTCAGTATTCTTTCTTTTGGGGGGATGGGTGAAGGAAAAAGGAATGAAGTCACAGGTGGCGTATCTGCTCTGGATCCCTGAAAGTGTTACCCCTGTGAACATCGTCCTTCATGTGTCTCCATTCCTTTCACGGCTCTGTGAGGAAAAAGGTGGAGAATCACCAGTTTAGTACAGTCTCCCTCGTTTTATAGACAAGGAACTGGGATTAGAAAATAAATTGCTTTACTCAAGATCTCACAGAAGTTTCAAGGGCGACCATTCCTGTAGTGGCCAGTGGTTTTTTTTTCCACCGTTTTTAAGCCGATTACAAGTTCTGCCTCAATCTACAGTCTCAATGGACTGGAAGTTTTAAACATCTAACTAGTCATTCGTACTCATTGCCCAGCTGTGGTAGAATAGAAATGGAGAATTGTGTTCCCTCCACAGAGCTTAGAACTTGCAGAGGATTCCTTTCTGATAAGATGGGAAGAAGAGGAGACATGTATGACTGTTTCTAGAGTGACCAGGATATCCTGCTGTTGAGAGAATCATTGCTGTTCTTCCTCTAGGGTGCTTCAGCTGATGAACCTAACCGATTCTCGCTTGGCTCAGGCAGGCAACGAGAAGCTAGAACTGGCCATGCTGAGCTTTTTTGAACAGTTTCGTAAGATCTACATTGGGGACCAGGTGCAAAAATCCTCTAAGGTAACAGACTGTCAGCTGGCGTCATTGGTTCTCCCTTCTGCTTGTGGAATTACTGATTGAGGGAAACGGCTGGTAACACGTCACATGCAATCTCCAGATTTTAAGTATCAGGATGGCCCAAATGTCTCCTCTTAGTCTATAGAATTTTGGGAGACTGATCAAAGAATTGAGTCCATTTCTCTAGTGCGCCATAGATTTAAATGTCTGGTCAAAACATCTGTTGTTGTCCCCAAAATTGGCAATTCTCAGTCTCTGTGCATGAATTGATGTTCAGAACAGAAGAAGGTTTGACAGCCTTTTTGTAATTCAGAGTTGAAGGGGACTGGTAAGATAGCTCAGCATCTATCCAGTGTTTGGTAATACTTAGAAATTAGCTCATCCCTTCCCCAGGACTGTTGTCCATTTTCTTCTCACATCTTACCCCCTGCATGAGGACAAAAGCAGTACCGGGGTGTAATTTTTCTAATCCGTATTTTCTGGTTACTTTTTCTTCCCTTAACACAACACCAGCTGTACCGCCGACTCTCAGAAGTTCTGGGCTTGAATGATGAGACCATGGTCCTAAGCGTCTTCATAGGAAAAATGTAAGTGACTTGGCTTGCCATCAGCAAGTGTCCCTTGCAATCCTGTTGCAACTGTAATATGTGATCTTGGCATTGTGCTGCCAGTGCCTTGGTATTCCAGCATTGATCGTTTGCGTCAGAAAATTGTGCATCTGAGTGTGTGACAAGCTGTGCTTAGAGATATGGCCCGGCCCCAGAGCATTCCAGGCTTGTACAGGCAAGGATTGAATTTTGTTCACGTGGAATTTCATCCATAGCCTCTGGAATCACAGGTGAAACCCTGTCATGGCATTAGCAAAACGGCCCTCCCTCCCCAGTGATTGGTGCTCAGCCTGTCACCCGGTCACCCTGCTGCCAGGGGTGCCCAGAGTGGGCATTCACTCTCTGGTGCTGATTTTCACTAGGCGTGCCCCCCAGGAGGAAAGCCCCACTTTAAAACAGGCTTATTCCTCTCAAGAAGCATCACGCTCTTTGAGAGCCTTGAATCTCCAAAATCTAGTGCTATTTGACCTGTCTTCAAAGTTGGAGCTCCTAATTGGCCCTTTTTTGTTGTT